GAAGCCCAGAGTTTGACAAAGAATTCCACTTTAGTAGCCCTAATGAACAAAGTTTGATGCGAAACCCGTTTTGTGCGGGTGGATGGGATATCCACTGCAAAACTCGCACGGGGCTTTGCCGTTTTGCCTAGTCGTGCCAAGATGAAAACTGGGGGAAACAAATTATGAATTTCTATGAAAAACAAATTATGAAAAAAACTTCTATAAAGTTCGTTTCGCCCAGACTATTTTTTAAATAACTTACTTCACATATTCTTCCTTATACTACGTATTTAGCACTTGTAACAAATACAATTTCGTGTTTATATATCATATAAGTACACCAAAAATCACATTCACTTTAAAAATGCGACAGGAAATATTATCATTACTACGAGTACATGCTAGGTAAATTCGTGTGCTAGGTACCTAGGTTACCTAGGAATGGAAAGAATCTTAAACTAAAAAACGCTTTCACGTTCTATTTTTGTGAAGGGAAAGTATCTAAAGAAACATTCTAACGATGTTGTTTGAAGTGCCACTTAGTGTTGCTGCTGGACGTTTGTCCGGTGAAGCCATCAACGCAACGTCGTCGAATTTCACACAGAAGTACTGCTGTGTAATATAACAATTGTCTTTGATATTTAAAGAGTCGGCCCAAAACCCTCTTGACAAATGAGACGTCCTCAGCAAAGATCGGGCTTTCACTAGTGGTACTTTTATAACGTTACGATACAATCCGAAATCCCGAGGGACTCATTTATACGACATTGTATACGATTTCATTTTTTTATTTTCGCTGGCCGTCATGTTGTTGACAATTGTGACACGTGATATAAATGAGTCCCTGTGGTATTGTGGCGTGACAAGTCTGTCGTATCCTGCTAAATGATAAAAGTGCGCATTAGCCTTGATTGCGTCGTATCGATTGGGAATAATTTGATTGCGTTACTGTCTACTGCGTGTAAAAATGTCTTCCTTTGAGTAGGTACCTAGATAATAAATTCAATATTCGCACTTCGGTTAGCTTCTTCAAAGCGAACGTCGTGTTTTATTAAAATATCTCACAAAGGGAGTTGGCTTGGATGAAAATAGTAAAGTTATCTTGTGCTGCAAACAATTCATTAAGCTCTGATTGAAGTTCTAAGTTTAATCACTCAAGTGCAGGTTGTTATCCACCCACGTTGAGCAATTATTTTAATTTAAATCTTGAGATAGCTTGAAAGGAATTTATACGTACAAAATCTATTCTTATTATTATCGTAAGACGTAAAATGTCATTTTAGAAAAGTATCCCTGGGTTTGGTATTAATAATTAAGTATACGTGAGATGAATGTAACGTTTGTCCCTTCTGTAATGAGTTTTCCCAAAGGGAAGAGCTTGACTTAAAATCACTTGCTCGCACTTGAAAAGGGTAGGACCATCTCCATCAAAATCCTCAGTCTACAAACCAGAACGAATGTATCCTACCCTTTGATACGATTGTGTAAACATATGAAAATAACTCCAGAGTAAGTATGGCGGGTCAGAATATTGGAATATTGGCACAAAATGAACCCAACATTTGATATACAGGCGGGGAAAGTGTGAGTAAGATCAAGATACAATGTGGTCAGCATTTTGTTTCTAAAGTTATTTATTTGTAGTATCATGGAGAGAAAAATATATTTTGATTTGATTTTTTCGTTATCTCTTTTAGTCTTTTATCAGTTTAAACAAAAGCCTATCATCGATTTAGGTCTTAGGCAGATATTATGTTAACATGAAAAGCTGACGTAATCTCTACTTTCCACCTAGGGACTAAGTTAGCTCTTAATTTAATAGTAAAGTTGTTGGTACTTGGTAATGATTAATTAACGTAGTCTAGTACATAAATACATAATATATAGTTACATTTATTATCCTTTAAGGATCGGCAGAATCGTAGGTAAAATTGGGAAAAAGAGGTTGTTTATGCTTCAGACCCAAAAAAAAAATGAATTAGTTCTAAAAAAATTGGGATGGGATGGCAAACGATCTGACGTATTTATTACCTTATGGTTGGCAATCGGCGCCGCGCATGGACACCCGGAACACCAGAGGAGTTACGAGTGCGTTGCCTTTTGGGGATTAGGGTTACGGAGATTTAGGGATTAGGGGAGAAAAAGGAGTAACCTCACTCACACGGCGAAGCACAACGCTATGGTTGTACCATGCCGGTTTTCTGTTAGGCCGTGGTATCACTTCATGAAGCATGGCTCTCCCACACTTTCTTCTATTGGAATAGGGGACGAACCTACAGCCAAACTCCGCTCACAACTCCAGAATTTGATACTTCTGTAAATTGAGCAATTGATAAGCCAGGAATCCCCTTTATCCATATTCCCGTGGTTTTATCTTTACATTTCACGGAATGGCATACAGAGAGAGGAAACATGACATTTTTCCTCTAATCCGTATCATAAAGCGCTACACATGGACACAACATGAACTCTATGAAAATGGAGATAGAGAATACAAGGTAAAAACTTTTCAATAATAATAAGCCCAATAATTAAGAGGGTTGGACATCAGGCGAGAGGAGTGTAAGACTCTTCCTGAATAAAAACCACCCCCTTCCTTCTCCAGCTCACAGCCAAGACTTGCTGCTACATTATATTGCGTTATAGTCTATTATTCTAACAATTACTTTATATTTCATACCTTTTTTATGCAACAAGATATGAATATAAGTTAGCATCTTGAATGGAATATGAACATTTCGTTTGTGACATTTATCCTAACTAATAATATTATAAATGCGAAAGTAACTCTGTCTGTCTGTCTTTCTGTCTGTCTGTCTGTCTTTTCTTCACGCCTAAACTACTGAGCCGATTTCTGTGAAATTTGGTACAGACATAGTTTGGAACTCGAGAAAGGACATAGGATAGTTTTTATTCCAAAAATCTGCAGGAAGTAACTTTTCCACGTGAACAAAGTCGCGGGCAAAAGCTAGTAGGACATATTTCAATAGGACAGTTCTTAGCCAGCCATACATTTTTACATTGAAATGAGCAGACGGATGACTTGATGGTACCACAGGACTTGCAAGTCCGCTGCTGATCTTTTGGCCATTAGGAAAATTAAATATTAGGGAAACCGATGAGGGAAACCGATGAGGGAAACCGCTCTCCAATCATGGTGAGGTTTACAGGGTTTGGGTCCGCGGTCACCTCACTCAGACGACAAAACACAACTCAATTGATGTTTTACGCCTGTTTACTGTGAGGCCGTCGTGGTGGCTCGGAGGTTAAGCAGCCAGCTTCTCATGCATGAGGGTTCGAAACCTGGCAAGTACCAATGTGACTTTTTCCGAGTTATATGTACTTTTTATGATTATTTAGACACCACTGACATAAGGTGAAGGTAAACATCGTGAGGAAACCTGGACTTATAATTTGTAATTATAAGTTTGAAATCGCCAACCCGCATTGAGCAAGCATGGTGACTAATGCTCTAACCTTCTCTGTATGAGAAGAGGCCTTTGCTGAGCATGTCCATTTTTTGCGCTCGTACCACATTATATTGTTATAACGGTAGTAAGGAGGAAAATATAATTAAATTATTAAATGTTCTTTGTTATTGTTTGTTAAACACAAATGTTACTATCTTGTCCTTATGGTCCACAGGTAATAAAATAACACGCGACCTCGCGCATAACTGTGGACCATAGACAAAACTTTTTGTTTTTTCTTTTGTTCTTAATTTGTTTCTAAAAACCATTTTATTTTTATCTGTGTCATTTAGTTTAGATTTTTTGTATTATTTTATTTTCTTCTTTTTTTGTATTTTTGTTTTATGTGTGTGCGCTTGCGCGAAAATAAATGCTTTTTCTTTCTTTCTTTCTTTCTTTCTTTCTTTGCTCAGCAGTGGGCACTTATAGGCTGATGATGACTATGAGGTCGCGGTATAGTTTTGATTGAACGGGCCCGTTCGTACCGAAGCATGTCCCTTCCACACTTATGGCAGAAGCCCCATTTAGGAGAGGATAAGAACATTTAAAATAGTTGCACTAAAGGCTGCACATAAAGCCACATAAAACCAATGTATCATAGTCTCGTTTATACTGGTTTTGTTAAACTTAGTGTGAAGCCATACACGTTTATAAGTGAACAGGATTGGTCTAGGTTACCTTACGACATTGAAGTTTACTACTGCCGTCGTAACAAACCAATGTCACTGATTTCGACACGTTTCAATGAATGATATAATAAAGTGATTATGTGAGGTTACGAAAATTATGTAATAATTTTTAATTTGTTTGTGGTAATCGTTTAGCATAAAAATAACATAAACATAAGCTGCTGGTCTGTTGGGTCAGTTTTTAAACAAGATTGCAGACATAATTGTTGGACAAGAAGCCCGGTACTCGACTATTAAGCATCGAGGAGGAGCAGAATGTAGTATCGATTTGTTGGAACTTTGAAAATAGCGATATAAAACTCCTTGTTTATTGATACTAAATTGTAGGGTATTAAAATAAAATAAATAATTATAAGTCATACTTACTAAGAATTTCGCCTTCTACAGTTTCAATATTTAAAAACAAAATTCGTTTGGCTTTTTAATTAATAATATCTTGATTTCCAATCTAGGTAAAAACCTGTAGGTATCTTGGAAATCAAGCAGTTTGTTCTCTTGTAGGTACAAATATTCAAATAAGTTAGTAAGTGCATAACTCAAAAACGCCTCGACCAATTTTGATAATTGTTAGGTTTTTTCATTGTCTGAAGAAGTTTCTTATAAAACGAATTCTAGAAAAGTAGAGGGCTAAGCTAGCTGGCTAGAGAGTTTTTCATCGTTAGCGAGGTCACTTACATAATTAGTATAAAAAATCAATGTCTGCTCCTGCTTTGCAAAACTACCTCGTTAACATAATTCTGGAAAAATGTTTTATTTGAACAACGCGTTCAGCATCATATTATATGAAAATATTGATCCCGGGCGGGATCCAGAATCGGTATGTGGTGAAATAATGAATGTGTATTTAAAAATGTCTTACCTCCAGGATTTAGATTCTTAGGTTGTGGAGTAACAGCGGATGCTGCGCCCGATGACCTGCGGGATCTGAAATTAGAACAATGTTGAAAGATTAATATGAAGACGTTTACAAAAACTTACATAAACATATTTAACATTATGGTACATTTACCTATAAAATTACAGTTGATCTAAAGTTCAAGTTCATACTCAGAAGGTAAGATAGTATACTATAGGAAAATCTTTGTCATTTATAAATCTATTGTTATTTTACATGCATGATTAATCGGCCATACATTATTTTAAAACACGCATTACTTGTCATAAGCCGAAGAGGTAGTCAGAGTTTTATATAAAACATATGCCTACATACATTTCGTACATTATGTTTCGTTAAATTTATTTGTTTTAGACGTAAATCCACACGAGACATGGACAATGTAGTTTCTATTGTGCCTTATATACCGATAATAAACGGGATATACAAAACCATCTGAGTGTAGGTACAATCTTTTACCTAGGGCTTTGCTTTGCCTGTAATACCAGTTTAATGAAGCCTATATTTTATTCCAAGACTATATGCGTTTCATTCACGTGAAAAAGTGATAAACATACGCTTTACATACTTTCACGTATATAATATTAGTAGGATAATGTCATATAGGAGTACATAATATACTATATATCTACAAATGTGACGTTGTATCCCTTTTTGACCTTACCGAAAACTAATTTGTGATACACGAACATATAACTATGTGAGGACGGACACTGCTAATACCATCGCCGCATAGTTACAGGGTGTCTTTCAAACTAATCACGTATAATAGAGCTCGCTACAAAAGTTTGTATAGTGTAATATAGTTATAATATTATACTTATAGGCACGACTACATTTAGTTGCTAATTACTCACAGAAAAAGTAAAATATCATTGTAATGATATGCCAATCTGATTGTAGGCACCTATGTGGTTCTATTGTATGTGGCCTTACCTAACTAATTTTGTAAGTTTTCAGAAAATTATCTATTGATATAATCTACTGTAGGAGATCAAGGAACTACCAGCTGAATGTTGCTTTATAAGCCAGCTCGCACCGCCGCTCGGGTTCACTTGCCTGTCAGCCGTCATCGCGATCGGAGCTCTCGGTGTTTTCGTTTTCTTTGTTACACTTTTGTTAAGATTTAAATAAAACCGTTAGGACTTATTTTTGTCTTTTTAAAAAAATACTCGTCCTTAGAATTCCCTAGATCAGAAGTGGGATAGGATCAACGTGGTTCTATCCTGCTGGCCATTCTGGTTGTGTGTTTTTAAGTGCGAGAAAAGTAAAAAGACAAAAATGTCTGACCGCGAATGTAGTGAACGCGAGCGTCATAGCAGCCGAGAGCATAGGCGTCGTAGTAGACATCGCGATCGTACCCCGGTGGATAGTGGTTTAAAGCGTCAGATGAGTGCGATGTTAGCTAGGCTTAAAGCGTTGGAGGGCCAAGTAGCTGCGCGTGACACGTCGCCGTCGGTTCAACGTAGTGAGCAGCCTGTTTCGCCGTCTCATAGGCGCCGGGAATCGAATAGACGCGTGACGTCACCCGCGCCGGAGAGGCCTGTGTCACCAGCGCACTGTGCGGGACGTTCCACTACGCCACCGCTCCCGTCGCGACCGCCAAGTATTCCACATACGTATCAAGCGCCGTGTGCCGGATCGGAACATGTTATTAGTGAAGTTAACACCCCGTCCTCGGTAACAGATCGAATTGTGGATGCTATTCGTTCAATCAATACGGCAGTAAGACCAAGCCAACATTATTACATTTCAAACTTCGACCCTAGTTTGCATAACATTGACGATTGGTGTGAGGAGGTAGATCGCGCTAAATTGTTAAATAATTGGAGTGATTATGAATGCCTTTCACGCATTGGTAACTGCTTAAAAGGAGACGCCAAAACATGGCTTAGCGAATGGGTGACTAACGAGCGTAGTTGGAGCAATTTTAAGAAAGAATTTAAGCCCTTATGTCCAAAAACACCTAATATTGCCAATATTCTGTTTGAAGTAATGAATACCAACTCAGACAACTATGCTACATATGCCGACTATGCTCGTCGTTCACTCCTTCGTTTACGCATTGTACGGGGGCTCAGTGACGAACTAATATCAGCAATTGTGATACGTGGAATAACTGACCCCCAGATTAAAGCGTCCGCTACAAATGCTAAGCTGTTACCTAACGATCTCGTAGAATTCTTTTCAACATACGTAAAACCTAACACATCTAAAAACAGTGTTGCTCGTGGCGCATCTCAAAATTATGCCGGTATAAATAAAAATACTTCGTGTAATTTACCCTCGAGAAAACGACGTTTTGACGAAGCTAGGTGTTTTGTGTGCGGTCAATCAGGACATAAACAAGCTCAGTGTAATAAACGGTCTAAAGTCAATTCGGAGGAAGGTTCTTCCACGACTAGTACAAACAATGCGGTTTCTAAGCCTGTGTTTGTGCCAACTAAGTCTGATACGTGTTCATTTTGTAAGAAATCGGGTCATAAAATCGAGAATTGCTTTGCAAAACAGAAATCCGAGTCACGCAATAAAAACAATGTCAACTTTTGCCGCGAAACTCAAACTACCCGCAATAATGACGTTATTGTGGCCGTTATTCAGGGCGTGCCTATTGATGTTTTAATTGATAGTGGCTCAACAATTTCACTTATTTCCTCAAGTCTGTTAAAACATTTCGAGTGTGCGCGTAAGCCATCGTTTCGTATATTAAAGGGACTTGGAAGTCAGGAGATTGAAAGTACCTCTTATGTAACTTTACCAATCGAATTTGACGGCATAACTCTTGAAGTCGATATGTTCGTGGTTGCTTCCGAATACATGAATACACCGGTCATAGTGGGTACAGATGTCCTCAATAGAGAGGGCGTTCGTTACATTCGTACACGCGATTCTCAACTACTTAAGAGAGAAATTACGAAGTCGGACCAAGTGATGACTGTTCAGTCTGATGTATCAATCCCTATCAACACACCTCTTGTTGGGGAGGAACTTAAACAGTTGTTGGCGGTTATTAACGACTTTTCGCAGTTTTTTATATCCGGTACCGCCACATCTACGGTAAACACAGGGAGTATGGTCATCAGACTGAAGAGTTACACTCCTATTAATTATCGGCCGTATCGTCTCTCCCATGCTGAGACCCTTCGCGTTCGTGACATTATTAGGGACTAGTTCTATTTCGTAGGGTACTTACTACTTTGACTGACGCGGGCTTTTCATTCAATTTAAAGAAGTGCTCTTTTCTTTCACCCTCGATTGAGTATTTGGGTCGTAATATTAGTGAGGGCCAGGTACGGCCGAGCACGGAGAAAGTAAGAGCATTAACGAATACAGGCGAACCTAAAAATATCAAGCAGGTCCGTCAGTTCATGGGTCTTGCTGGCTATTTTCGGCGTTATATACCTGACTTCGCGCGAAAAACAGCCTGTATAGCGGCTTTAACACGTAAGGGTGTAGAATTTAAATGGGGACCCGAGCAGCAAGCAGCTCGCAAAGAAATTATCGAATGCTTGACCAGTGAGCCCGTACTTGCGGTATATGACCCTTCGTTGCCGATTGAGGTGCACACAGACGCAAGCTCTGTCGGTTACGGGGCCGTGCTTCTGCAGGTGCATCAGGGCGCTTATAAGCGAGTGGTTGCTTACTATAGTAAGCTAACACAGGGAGCTGAAACAGGCGCAATCAACGGGGAAGCTGGACTCCGGTATGCGAGGCCCGTACCGCGTGATGAAGATTCTCCCGCATGGGCGCTATGAGCTGCAACTCCTGGCCGGCCCCTATGGGAAGTCGACGCAAGCGGCAGCGGAGTTTATGATCCCGTGGCGTGGAGAGTGGACACCTGAAGTATGTGCTGCTTACTTCGATGGCGAGTTGCTTGGCTACCCCAAGGCAGGTTGCAAACTGTCCTTGGGTATGTCGTCAGAAATAGCTAACGTAGTGCTTCCTTTCTGTGTATACAATTGTTGGGAGAAAGCTAACGCCGCGCTTCCTTTCCTAACAATTGTGGGGCGAACATGCAAACGTCGGGCCTCTGTCTCGCCGGGCTAAGTTATGCTAACGTCGTGCCTATGCCTTACGCCCTGATTAAGTTATGCTAACGTAGCGCCTATGGCTTAATCTATGCTTGTGACGCTTCGCATCTTGTTTATATGATGGACGCGTCATATTTATGAGATGTTAAGTTTCGCACTTTAAATTGCTGTTAATGTGTGTACGTAAGCTAATAGTTGTTTTCGTGCATAGGTGCAGACACAGAAGATGATGATCCTGGTGCCACTCAGCCTGACGAAGCAGTCGAGCATGGTCGTGGATTACCGCCACCTGCTTTAGCTGCGAGGCTGCCTGTCGACGATGGGCAACAACCATCTACGTCCGGGATTCAGAGGCATACAAGTGCTTCAGCCACACCTGCCGCTGAGGTGTACCAAGAGCAGGAGCCTGCCGCAGAGTCTGGGCCAGGGCTATCCATGCCCCTACTGGACTAATCCAGCATGAAGAAGAAGGAGCCCGAGGACGGTCTCCTGTCAGGAGAGGCCGTGTAGGAGATCAAGGAACTACCAGCTGAATGTTGCTTTATAAGCCAGCTCGCACCGCCGCTCGGGTTCACTTGCCTGTCAGCCGTCATCGCGATCGGAGCTCTCGGTGTTTTCGTTTTCTTTGTTACACTTTTGTTAAGATTTAAATAAAACCGTTAGGACTTATTTTTGTCTTTTTAAAAAAATACTCGTCCTTAGAATTCCCTAGACTACTATATCTAGGTACAATTAAAATCATGAATACCCGCCTAATTATAACCTATGATAAGATTATAATGATTATCATTCATCGTAATAAAATCGTATTTATGTTCAAAAGATTACAAATAAAGTAACTCCACTTAAAGTAAAATACAAAGTGAAAGTTATTTCGCAAAAGTACTATTTATTATTTTAATGCGAGCGAAAATACTACAAAATAAAAAATAAACCTTTAGCATCTGTATTAAAGTCCATTATATTAAATCTAAGTGCTATATTGAATTTATTAGCAT